AGGGTTTCTCTGTGTAGCTTTGCGCCTTTCCTGGGACTCACTTGGTAGTCCAGGCTGGCCTTGAACTCACAGAGATCTGCCTGCCTCTGCCTCCTGAGTGCTGGGATTAAAGGTGTGCGCCACCACCGCCAGGCTCTCTAACCCCTTCATTTTAAAAAATGTTAAAAGTGTGTTTTGCCTGCATGTGAGTGTGTATACTGTGTGAGTGCAGTGCCCATAGAGGCCAGAAGTGGGCATTGGAGATCCTGAAACTGGCTTACAAGTGGTTGAGAGCCATTATGTGGGTACTGGGAATGGAATCTAGGTTCTCTTGGGAGAGCAGCCAGTGCTCTTAACCCCTGAGCCATCTCTCCAGTCTAAGTGAAGGATGTTATAAATATAAATTTATGGTGTTCTTGGTAATAACACATGCCCAATGAAGACCAAAAGTTGGAAAAGCAGTTACACTTTTTACTTGAGATGAGTCTCGAGCAGTCAGTTATTTTCTGTTGTGATCATTTTAAATTTATGGTGATTTCATCTGAGTGTTAATAAGAGATGTAGCCAAAATCAGAAGGGAAGACATAGGAAACTACTCCTATTTAGAAAGAAACTGATCTTTCCAGAGTCTGCATGACAGTATCCCAATTAGTAGATTTTGACTCATGCTTTTTTCAGTAGCGTGTTTGTGCTATTCTTCTAAATTAAGTGTATTTAATTCTTCTGCTCGTCTAGACCTTCTCCACTTAGAAGATTTCCATCAGAGCGCTTTGTTGGGGCTCCATTTTCTAGTTAGTGTCTTATCCTGTGCATGTTGCTGCTTTCATCATTTTCAGCCCTACCCTTAGACGCTTTGCTTAGATTTTCCCATCTTTATTTAAAGCCTCTGGTGCTGAATCTTTCAAGACTACTTTCTACTACGTCTCATTACTTCACAGCTATGGGATCATCAGCTTCCTCATCACCTGTGTTAAGTGCCATCTGCTTCCTCATTATCATCATTGTCCAGTTGAGGGTGACATCCAAACACCTCTAACCAAGCACCATGAAAACTTTACCAGCTTGGACGTCAACTTTGCCTTTTCTCCATATATTCAGGTTTATCAGGTTCACGTCTATATGAGAAAAGGCTCTAAAGCAGTGGTTCTCACCCTGGGGGGGTTTCACTCTGGGGGGTGGGGGCGGTCACCTAAGACCACCGGAAAACAGATATTTATGTAATGATTCATAACAGTACCAGAGTTACAATGAGGACGTAGCAATGAAAATAATTTTATGGTTGGGGGTCACCACAACTTGAGGGAATGTATTAAAGGGTTGCAGCATCAGGAAGGTTGAGAACCCCGGCTCTAGAGTAACTAGTATGTTTCAAGCTAGGACAGAGCAGTGTCTTTCAGTTAGAACTTTCCAACAAATAATGCAGGAGGTACACAATGTGCTATCATACCTCAAACCAGCCAATAGCCTCAAGGAAGTGCATACAAGTTCCGTTGTTGTGCTCCCCCCCCTTTTCTGCCTTGCTGTGTTTGTTGTTAACTGTACTTAAGAGTTTGTTCTCAAGTCCTTAACACAAGTCCTGTAAAGCTTTCTTGTACATGTTTGTGGGAGGCGAGCTCCCACCTTTTAAAAGGGTTCCTATAAGGAGGAGAGAGGGATGAGAAATGTTTAGATAAAAAGATAGCAAAGAGGAGAAAGACAGAAACAGGTTAGCTTCCGGGGGACCTGGGTCAAAACCCAGTGCCCCTTCTGCCTCTTCAAAAGGGCTTTTTATAACAGTGCCAAGGGACGAGGCAAAAGACCTCCCCATTGCCAGAGTAAAACACACAGTACAGCCAAGTGTAGGCCCTTCTAAACACCTGGTAACCACGGCCCTGGTGAAAATCATCCTCTTATGCAGCTCTGCTGGGTAAAGCAAGGTCAGATTCTCACACCCTGAGTAAGGTCTCACTAGGAAAACTCTATAGGTTTCCACATGGTTCTCTCTCTAAGTTCCTATGTGAGAACT